GGGGGGGGGGGGGGTGTTGTTGTTGTGTACTACTCCACTCTTACGCGTATGTTTATTACGCGCGTGTATGTATATATACGGTACGAGAACGAGGATGTTTTTATAAGATTACGTATTAAAATCGACGCGCGCGAGCCGGGAGAGTCTCGAAATCCGCTTTCTGTCTCTCTCTGTCTCTCGACTCCGCTCCCTCAACTCTCCTGCGGCTAACAGCTTCCTCTTTTTCATGCATTATAAAATACCGCCTGCACTTTTGTATATAAACGCGTTACCTCTCTCTCTTTCTCTCTTGTTTTCTTCCTGTTCATTTTTCGCAGTTTCTCTTTCTCTCTTACTCGTACGTACGTATATATATACGTCAATTATTCACACATCGCGCATAAAAATATACACACACACAACCGACGCGGGGTAATGCATTCCGAGCGCGAGCTCGTATACTATACCATAAACCAATGATTCATATCTCTCTCTTTCCTATGGGAGCTCGCTGATGCGTTATCAACTTTCATTAAATTCGTGGATGCGCGTTATTATTTGCCCGCAGATACGCGAGAGAACTGTAATACACTCCGATAAATCCTAACACATTGTGATTCTTATATGTATACTCGTGCCAACAACGGCTCAAGTCTGAGCGAAAATCTGAAGCTATATACGTGTAGGTGTAAAATTTACTGTAACGAATTTTTCACAACACAATAGATACTTCATTCGTCAGAACTTACACAAAGAAGGTTGGGTGAAAATATTTTCTTACAATGATACAATAAGTGCCTTTCTAATGCATGAGCTGCTGCTGCTGCTGTTGGGTCGGGTGGCAGAGAGCATGTTGCGTTGCTTAAAGCAGCAGCTGCACAAATTTCTAAAGATCATCCAGCGAGGAATATACATAAGAGAAGAAGTAGGTCTATACTTTATAATGCATGCTGCATTATCTTTGCGCAGAGAGTCTGCCGCTGCATAAGCTTCCATATATCTATGCTCTGCCTTCGTAATATTTAAGCTTTCTACGCCGCTGCCACTGCTGCTGTTTCACGCAAATTGAACGATTTTCGTGAGCGCCGAAAAGGAGCTTGCAAAAGTGTGCGCGCCGAGAGGTATCGCATGTTTTACATATTAATACGATATAATAATATATTAATTTATACATCAGCTGCTGCTGCTGCTTTTTGTGTGCTGATGATATGGTAGTTGGCCCCCGCCGCGCCCGCATATTATTGTTTTTTTTTTTGACTGCTGAAACACGCGAACGCAGAGTTTTGGTGTGCACGGCCACGTTTACTACATATATATGTATATTAGCGCATGCGAGGAATTTTGAGCGTGTGTGCGAGTGATCCGATCCACATGCATGTGTGTGCTCGCGGATCATTCCACATTCGACACACACACTAATACACACTCACAGATACTAAACGATTCACAATTATAAACTATAAATACCAGTCGAAAAGTTGGCAAAACTATTAATTGTTTTTCGAGTGAAAAGTTTTGCGAAACTTGTGAATATATACATACACTCACAGCATCGATCCGAATGAATACGGCTGAGCTCGATACTGTATATGTTTATTATTATTATTACTATGGTCCAAAATTGGAAAAAGTGTGTGGTGGAAATGAAACGAGAGTCGCGCGCGCGCGATTTGATACGCGCGCAAACGTAATATAACATTATTATTACATTAAATATATTGAATGTATCTGTCTCTGTCTCGAGTCACGTAGCACACACACACACACAGAACGCGACACGCACGCGTGAACTCGCCGCGCGAGAGAAACGATATATCTTTTCTTTCTTACACACACGATATACTAATATGATATAAATATAACGATATAAAAAATAAATTGAAAAGCTGCATTCTCGCGTATACTATATGTATAGTATATAGCGAACAAGGATATACGAAAGTGACTAATGCCAGCGACCCTTGGGCTTCTGTCTTTTTTTGTTTTTTTGTTTTTTGTTTTCTGCGCCACGTGCGTTCTTTTTTTCTTCCTGCGCTCGGCGTTTCCCTCCCTCTGCAGTTGTGTTTACAGATGGCTTAGATCGCTTTTCAAGCGACGCGGCTCGTCCCGCTCAACCGGAGAGGCCACCGCCCCCGCTTCCCCCGCCACGCTATCCGAACAACGCTGTCTGACACTGGGCAGCTCGATCGCTTAATCGTTGTTGTGGCCTGATGATGAAGCTGCTGCTCCTGGTGGCCGACGACTTCGTCCTTGGAGAGAAAGGGCATCGACTACTACAGCCACTGCCATCGTCGCTACGCTGAATTGAGACTATTTAATACGTATAGTAGGCTTGAATTTATTATTATTGTTGTTGTATCGTGTATGTATGTATACCGTACGCCGGGCCAGTGCGTTTACCTGTACTACTTGTTAGCAGTGGTGGGCTATCGACGAGTCCAGCTTCTCGAGGCTCCAGTTCGTTCGTTCGTTCGTCGCCGTCGTTCGAGGATGATGATGAATTTTATAATATACGCGCGCGCCAAATATACAGAAAATATAATCAGTGCCTATCTATCTCTATATCTATAACGTTGGATGAGTCCGATCGCATTTTTGTTGAATTTTCGCTTGACTACTACGTCCTCTTCCCTGTTTTTTATATAAAATTTCGTTTTAGGAATCGCCTACCGTAGAACAAAAAGTTGTGAGAAAAAAAAAACAAACCAAAAAAAAAAAATGAAAACAAAAATAAAAAAGGCTTGTAACGAGTGACGACGACGACGACGACGGCGGCGACTCGATACGCTGATCTCGCGATGCTTTACCATTTATATCACGACGAAGCGTATGTAATGCGAACTACGAAACGAAGAGAGAAATAATGATAATGACGTGTGTATGTGAGAGGAAGGTTTCCGCCGTTTTCGATCGATTGTCGTTTTAATACTGTAACTAAAAGCCGCTAAAGTATTCGATACACGTACTTTGATTACCGTTATACTTTTTGAAACTGACAGAAAAAAAAAGACACACGTGCGCGCGCATCTGCCTCAAGTCAATAAAAAAAAAACGAACGTTCTACTCAAGATGCATCATCAACTGTTATATATCCTTTACGAGTCTTTGGTCTGTACAGTCAATCGGTTTTAACGAGTCGCGTTATTGGGCTTTGACAATTATGCTTTCGAGAATATTTTTAATTATCATCGTGCCTTGTAAAGAAAGACGAAAAAAAAAAGAGGAAAAAGATTTTTAAAAATCTAACTAAAGTAGTTGAATATATTTTGCAAGCTCGATTGCTTTTTTCTCGTATACATTGATCCACCTAAAAAAATAATGTTGACGACGATGAATTTTTCCCCGAAATTTTAAACTTTGTAAAGCCAATTTTTTTGAAAACGAACATCACAGACACCGACGACGAACAAACAAATTTTTGTACGATTCCAACGACGACGGACTAAAAGCAACAAATTCCTGGCCGTACCCCCCATCAATTGAAAAAGGAAACCTCTCCTTGTATTTCTGTACATAGCTGTGTAAATATATATATCATCGAATGAAGCGCATTCGAAAGATTATTATTATTATTATTATTATTATTATTATTATTATCACGATCATTACCGCAGTTGAATTATAGAGAAAACTCGATCCGAGAGCGAACTTTGAGGATGTAATGCCTAGCACGTAATTTCTTATATATATATATAATTATACATAATATATATTGTAAGATGGACGTTTTGAACGAAAAAAAACGACAACAGCAAAGCGTACTTAATAGTTCGTAAAATAATGAAGATTGTAGATCATCGTAGACAAAAAAAAAATTCGCGATTATTACGAATATGGATTACACGAGTATTAATTATTATAATGACCGAGAGAGCTCGCGAGCCATCTCGGTTGTGATTGAACCTAAAATAAAAATTAAGACAAAAAAAAAAGTTGTTACAGCGGAAAACATCCTATATATAGTAGCTTTAGCGCCCTAATTAAGGTGGAAAATTGTAATGGACGGAGAGAGCTCCTTGATTGTTGACTCACTTTACCCTGCATACACAATTTGATGAAATGATAATAAAGCCAATTACGAAATGTAGCTCTCTCGATTTTTCCTCGTTAATATTGCGAAGAGAGTGGCAGCTACATCGAGAGAGAGTCGGTAAATACGGGAGGACAGCCCATGTCATTTTAATCATCGAAAATAAAAAAGTGGAAAAAAATTGTTACACAGTTCGCGATCGTGTTTTACGAACCTAATAAAAAGAAAAAAGAAGAAAAGATGAATGGACGGGCAGTTACCGCGCGCGCTAAGTCTTCGTTTTAATTCTATTCCATCGCTTTATAAGCATTATAAACATTATCGAACCCTTACCAACTGCCACTGTGAATTTTCGTTCGTTTTTTTTTTTCGGAAAAGCTTTCCCCAGGGGGGAGAAAGAGATGGCCAAGCGACAAAAATTGCACACAGGAGAGCCGGTGCTATATCGTTATGTAATAATATGAGCAAAAAAAAATACTCGATTCTATATCGTGCTCGAGCCAAAATATTGCGCGAACGAAAAAACACTCTTTGCTATGTGCGCGCGTATACGTATCCGCGACGTGGAAAAAATGTTTTTATTGAATTTTTCAATTTTAACGCGAGGGGCTGCGTTACATAGTTTTGGGACTCGGTTATAAAAAAAAAAGAGAGTAACGAAGTTTAAAATATCGATATACAATAATGATTCACTGCCAGTAATAAATCGTTACACGAACATTGACATAGCTGCGGCTGCTTTAATCGAACAATTAATGCGTAAAAGGCTTAGTGAAAAAATAATATGCAAAGCCATTAAGAAGAAATAAATTCTTGTTTGCGTTAAAATTTCCAAAAACGAAGTCAAAAAAAATCGATAAACAACGGCTCATCGGAGTGCTTTACATTATGTTTACTTTGACTCTTAGGCTTGACTTTGAATGCAGTAGGAAAAGTGTGTGTCACAAATATAAAAGCATAATATCAGGTCCATCTCGATTTAGAAAAATTACACTCTCAACTTCAACTTTTCAAGCTATATAATGACTGAGCACTTCATCATCAAAGGTATTCTATTATGCATGGACACTTGCGTATTATATTGTATACATGGTATAAATAATGGATAAAAAAAAACTAAAATAATCTTAGAGTTTGAAAATAGGAACAAAAGAGAAAGGCAGAATATTCAGGGAGGAAAAAAAGCATCCTGTGAATCGAAGCAGAGCGAAGGAAGCCTGTACGTGTAATACATAATGATATATTGTTTGTAATTAAAGAAAAAAAAGAGAAATGGTCGTTCGTAAATTATAAGCAAATGGATATAATGTTTAATTCGCTCCCAAAATAATGATTATTACAATTACGAATACTTTTTAAAGTAAATCTGAGTATATATTTATGGTTGCGATTCCATCGGAGGTGTCGATGAAATTTACATCGATGGATTTTGACATTTGAAGTATGTGACAATGCCTTAAAAAAAAAATAAATAAATAAAGAAGTTTCACTTCAGTAAAGATCTAAAATTGCAGTGCATCTCCATCGTGCTTTGAATATTTCAATCGTCAAGGTCCATCGACGCAAATTTCAAAAGTACAACGTGCCAGTTTCAATTTCGAAACGTACTATAATTATATAGGCATGTATTATACAGAAGATAATAGCAGTAAATTACGGGAATTCCAATTGCTAAATTTTGTAAGCCAAAGATCAAAGGAAAATTTCCCGGCTATTACGCCTCTACTCTTGACTAGTATCATAACTATTATAGATGTATTAAATATGTATAAAAAAAAAAGAAAAGAAAAGACAAACTGATGTATTTGAAGCGACTCGGAGCAAGGACGAAGATATCGTCGACTCTGCTGCTCCTGCATCACGATTATATCTATCATAAGAGAAGCGAGCTGTGCATTTATTGATTAATTATAATGGTGGAAAAGAAAACTTTATCTGTAATGTGGCGCGTGTCTTTTGGGATGTTGGAAAATATAATGAGCCATATTGAAGAGACTTTAACGAGATCCACCATCCATCTATTGTTAAACGAGGCGGCATTGATAAATAAGTTAATACAAATGTAGCGCCGTGGCATTTTTCATTAATAAATTCAGAGTTAGCTGCAATTTCTCACATTGCCAAACGAAAGTATTTCATCTAATAAACACTTGTCTACTCCTGCCTGATAACAGAGACATTTTTTACTTACTTTTGAAAGGTATCATATAGCTGCGTACAAAAAGGGGCGCGCGATTATATTACCTCTCGGCATTCGTTTGATCTTCCGATATTATTGATAATATACAAAAACGAGTTTGCAATGTGCATCGAAATTATTGTATTTAATTTTAGGTAGATGGATAAAGCAACTTACAAAATAATTATAATTAACTATACGATAAACTCTGTAAAACAATGTAATATAATTTTGCAAAATTCAAGCTAAATATTAAGCGAGTCCGTTTCAACTTGTTAGCATCTCCTTATTATATATGAAGAAAAAAAAAATTTATAAACTACACCAAATGTAGACCAGAATAAAGTTATGTGTTACACCACACCACCGATGAGTTATAGTAGTTTTTTAGGCGTATAAACGATGTATAACTCGTAAAACACGTATTTACGAAAAAAAAAAATTAATTAATACAATATTAAATAATCGTTACGACACACAATTGATTTTGCATGATTGTTATCTATCGATGCGTGTAAATTGTAAGCTATTAAATTAATGAGTGTATTTTTATCGACTCGAGAAAGTCACAGAGAGACGGCACGAGGAATAAAATTTCGCGCGCGAGCTCGTCGACTTTCCGAAAAGAAACAAAAGTTACACACTAACGGCGATCCGTACTTAACGCAAAAAAAACTCGTATCAAATCGCAGCGATCGATTGTGTTCGATAAATAACGAAGAGAAAAAAATCAAGCGAAAACAGCGTTGACCATTGATTCTTCCGATTTGTGTTTGAGAGCTGGCTCATCTCTTACCGAACGCGCCGCGTCAATTTTTCTTTTTTGCAAAAAAAAACTATAAAAGTGTAATTGCAGCCTAATCGATCGCAATAATTGCGTCGAGATTTTAAGAAAAAAAAAAAAAAACAAACAAAGTTATTGTAACTGGTACAATTCGATCTTTATCGATTCTACAAGCTCGACATGCCGATATTTCATATTAAAAAAAAATTAACAAAAAAAAATACTTTAACGCCTGCACAATTTAATGTCACTTGGGTTATTGGTATATACGATATATACTACTATTAAGTAGCTGATAGCGTGCAATTATAGAAGAAAAAAAAAAGGCCGAGAACGAGACGATGGGGGAGATTTTATGCGGATGCACTCAAGTGCCGATGCGTATACCGATATACATTTAATGTGTAATAGCTAAGTGGGAACGTCTATGAAGTTAAATACTCGCATCGGTTTTTTTTTCCTCGAAAGCTCGACTCGTGTGTGTGTGTGTTCTTTCGACGAGGATTAGAGGACACGGAAAAAGGAAATGAAAAAAAAAATGAACACGTTTATTATATAGATAAACCGGAGAGCCGAAACCGATGGAAGTATTTTACAAATTGAAAACAAATAAACGATGGATTTATTATTTTTTTACGGGGTAGGCTAACAAATTTCTCAGTTACAAGAACCCACGTAAACGTTCAGTTGAATACTTCATAATGATCTATTGAGTGAAGCAAAAATAAATAAATAGAAGTTATGAAATGAACATTTTTATTTTGATTAAAATTATATTTTGAAACTATTGATTCATTAAATACGCCTACATGAGTTTGAAAAAAAAAAACAACACGAATCCATGCGAGAATAGAGCAAGTAATATAATGCTGCGATGTTCCATCAGCATAATCGTTCGCCATTTGAACCAAGTTCAATGATTTCTTCTTGTCATTTACCTTTATACTATTAATAATATTTTGTTAAACATTGAATAAAGACACAGTAAATAACTGTAGGCTTGATCTTTTCATTCACTCGCAACCTTCTTTTATATCTTTTATTTACAATATGATTCAATAGCATTACAAGTGGGGGTATTGAGCATTCTTATTGTTTATTTGAGGTTGAATCTCGAGGACGAAAAATTAAATTTTTTATTGAAATTTATTATTACTTTTGTTTAAATTTTTATTGCCTCCAAGCACTTTACTAAAAAAAAATATGGAAATCTGTTTTCTATCATACCGATTCTGATGCCATTTTCGACTTAAAAAATCGAAAAGATATTATGAACATTTTAAGTGTGTTTGCAAACCAAATTTCTCAAAAGAAAACCTCGTAGATTATTCAATTATCTTTGTAGAGAAGTTGAAAATCCATGAGGAATCGATGCCCGATTCAAGCGATTTTTATAACTGGGGATCTATGAAGTAAAATAAAAAGAATAGGTAACTCGAGTATAAATTAAGAAACGAAAATTTTATTTCATTTAAATTTGTAATAAAAACTATTAATTATCCAAATACGTCTTGTACATGAGTTTGTAAAAAAATACGAATCAGTGCAAATAATAATGCTGCAATGCTCCATCAGCTTAATCGTTCGACATTTGAACAAAGTTCAATTATTTTTTCTTCTCATTCACCTCTATAATATTTATTAAGCATGGAATTTTTGTTAAACATTGAACAGTCACAGAGAATAACTGTAACACTGATTTTTTCATATACTCGCAACCTGCCTTTGTATCAATTATTTACAATATCTTTAAATTACATAAAAATAGCAGCATTGAGCATTTTCAATGTTTATTTGAGTTTGAATTTTTATGATGAAAAATTTAACTCCAAGTTAAACTCGACTTATCAATTGATATTAAAGTACATAACTAGTTTTTATGGTTTACATTCGTAATGATATGGATCCAATGACTTGTGATCTCTCCATGTAGGAGGAAGACCACTATGAAGATATTGACCACATCTCTTGCAAGGATTATTAAATAAACTAATATAACTATGTAGCCATGCCTGCAATGAAAAAAGTTATTATTGTTTTGTAAAAAATTATCTTCATAATTTACAGAAAAATTTACAGTTTAAAATCTTATTGTGTTCAACTTACGAAAAAATTTTTGAGAGTAAAATCAAGAATATTTGGATTATGATAATGAAGTATGGTAGCATTAGCATGCTCAGTAACTCTTTGAAATACTTTATATCTGGATTCTTCCCATAAGTCTAAAGATTCATTATAAGCTTTGATAACTACCCTCTCAATCATTAGTCCTTTGAAAGCTATAATAGTTTTTAGTACATGTCCTAATGAAACATGAATAATAGCATTGTGTGAATAAGGTCGTTTTATTTTTATAGACATGCCATTATAAAGTCTATCATATGATGCCATTAATTGATCTACTTGTCTGTAAAAAAATAAAATGTAATAAAAAATCTGCATTAGCTCAAGTCATATTTTTCCAGTGTTGACAATAAGGTATTTACCCTGGCTGCGCGCTGATGGAGCTCATAGGTCTTCTTGGTCCACTTCTGCGAAATATGGCTGAACGTTTCAGTGAATTTTGAGAGAGGAGCTGATGAGCAACATCGCTGTACTCGTGTACCTTTCCAGTCCATTTGTATGAATTGACTAATGTATTATACAAGGCTTGTCTTTCTTGAGTCGTTTCCTGAGCTAAATACTGTGAATTCCCTAAATTAAATGGCCCTGGAGGAGCTTGCAACGAATTGACAGATTGTTCTACTTCCCTAATGAAAGACAATTGATGGTATCAAAAGTTAAAATTATTTTCCATTTCTCTAGCATATAACTAAAATAATGATAGATTCATTACCTCAAATTAGCACCAACGCTAGTTAATAATTCTTGTAATTCTAGTAAATATTTATTTTCTCTATTTTCTTCTCCATGTTCTGATCCTAGTCCATTTGCAAGAGTGTGAAACACTTGCCCTACACTGGATCGTAAAACTTTCAAAGAAGTTAAAGCCGTATGTAATTGATCCATTTTTCGGGATGTTATTGTAAACCGTTTTTCGTTTTAGCGTTTTTTGCACTGAAATTCAAAAGCCGCTTCTGAACTGCTGCATCTGCGTGCCACAGCAGACTCTTGGTGTGTGTTGTTTATGTATACAAAACCGAATACGTCACTTTTTAGACATAACCTTTTACAAAGTTTTCGTAGCGTGAACACTGCGCTGCCGCAACACAACTGACTACAGTTGGGACTTGCGTTCGTGTCGCAGTTCGCACGCGTATGAGTGTGAGGCAGAGGCGCCACTTGATAAACTCGAATTTCAATTTTAACGCGATGTTATTGCGAAGAAGATAATACTCAAAGAGAGGTAAAAAATAGTCTTATATTGAAGACGAAGGTAATGGTGAAGCGATCAATGAAATAATCACAGTATCTTATTTTGAATAAAAAGGTATATATTTAATATTCTCAGAGTTTACACATTAAATTCAGGCATATTTCTCAATAATCAAGAAATATTACTTATAGTGATAAAATGAGTTGAGAAAGTCTTAGATAACAAAATCTGCTTCAATTTTTTTCTCATAATAATATAACAGCTGCTCCGATTAATTGTGAAAAATCCGTAACACATAAACGCTTTGCGGATGCACAATAATATCTGGCGAAGTACGTTTCGCAGTGAGACAATAATTCGAATTGCACCTTTATTTGAAAAAGTTTTTCAAAACATGATATAAATATATATAAATATATAAATGACGATTCCATGCTTTTTTCTATCCAGGTATAAGTTCATTTTTTTTTAACACAGGATACACGCAATGTGGTATGCACAATAATAACAAAGATTGATTCTCATATACAGAAATAAATTCTACAACGTGACAGTCTCGCGGGGATTAGGAAGGTACAAGAGTCGAGCAAAAAGGGGCATAGTAACATTTGATATTACTTCAACCCTTGTAGTTATTAATTTGTAATAACTTTCAATTATGTACAATTCATTTTTTCTGATCTACAAACGGTTTCATTAAAACTCAAAACCGATCGAATACACTGCTTCGATATTACCACTTATTATTACGCTCCTACAATTTTTAAAAAGTCTATCAGTATAAATCGTTGACGTTTAATTAGCGTCTATAATGCTGCTTTCATAGACGATATTAAATTAGTTTTTTTTTTCTTTCTTCTTCGTATCTTCGGATGTTTCTCTTCTCAACTCTCTCGATGATCTTATTTTTAGTTGAAAAAATTTAACGACCGACGCCAAATTCTTTAGCGTCATCCTCAGTGATATCACCATATTGCCAAATGTTGCGGTGATTATCTCTGGCTTCTTTCTCAGCCTTTCTGTACTCCTCGCGCTAAAATAAAAGAAAGAACAATTGAATGACGTGTCTCCAATTTATAAGCGAAGCCAAAATTTGTCAATATCTTACCAAGTCCTTCAATTTCCTATCACGGCCAGGGGTACACAGTAACAAACCATCAACTACAAGGAGTTTGACAATATCTTCTTGGTTGGGTGGTTCAACCAGAGTTATAGCTGGAACGCCGGCATTCCTATACTCTACATTGAGAAGTAACGTTTTTCCAGTCAATGTATCTTCTCTGAAGGCTGCTACGGCAGCTTTCTGATCGTCTTCCTAAAATACCAATAATAATTCATTTAAATACACCGTTTCGGAATCCACAATCGATCGTAATTTTTAAATCTACTTACGTCCTTGGGCAAATGTACAAGCGCAAGAATGTTTTCGGTGGCGTATGGTTTCTCAGCAGCGAATCCAGCTGGCATGGCTGCAACCCTCACGCTGTCAACGACTTCGCGGTTGCCGTAGTCGATGTAAAGAACGGAAACCTTGTTTCCGGATACTTTCTCGATCTTCACGCGATACCATTCGTCATCGGTGAACTTGGCGATAGCGAGATCGCCTTTTTTCGGGGTGTAGGCACCGGCCAGGGGTGGGTTGGTGGCAATCTCGTGACGGAGTCTCGTCAGCATACCTTCGAGGGCGCTCTTTTGATCGACGCGTTGAGTATAAACGCGAAGATCATCGGTGACCTCAGACACGATGATCTCTTGATAATCAACTTTACGTTCAGCGGGAGCTCTTTCTCTCTCTTCGCGTTCCTTATCGGGCTCAACCTCGATTTCTACTCTGTCTTTCCAGATTCCAATTTTCTTGGCCTTGGCACGTTCCTCGGCAGCCTTCAAAGCTTTCAAGTGCTCTCCTTGCTCGATGAAGTTGGAAACTTCAGCAAGACCTTCTTCGACCAAAGCGACGGAAAGGTTGGTGCCTTCAACAGAGAGCCATCCAATGAAACCACTACCCTTGTTCTCCATATTTTCAACCTGAACATCTACATCCTTTTGGAAACAGAATTTGCGGGTGAATTCAAGGGCTTCTTGACCGTAGGGTTCGGCTTCCATTCCTCCCGTACCGGGAGTGATGCGGGCTGCTCTTGGGCATTTTACACCAGCGAGCAAGAACGTAATCAAACAGTACTCTTTGGGGATGAAGATCTTGAGCCTCGAGCCACTGGTTACAAATTCAACAACACCCTTCATTTCACGGGCTCGCTTGAGCGACTGAAGATGCGATTTTGCTGCAGCGGGGTCGGTAGAGACATCACGGATGCGCTGTAAGGGCACATCTTTTTTGGCATGCAGACCATTGCCGGACTTCTCGGCTTTGCTCTCAGCGACCAGCAAGTCATTGTAGTGGCTTGAGCGCTGGTCATCGTTTTGGCGGTACCTGACAACGGTTGCGTAGCCTTTGGAAACCATAGCTTCAGCAACATTACTGTAGAAAAAAAAATTATATTTTATAGAATTTACAAAAAATAGCAGTAGGAGGATTATGATTTAAAAAATGTTTACATACACTTTGCCAATGGTGACTGTGCAGCATGTTTTTTCAGGGAAGTTATCTCTAGCTGGTTGAACATAGTCGACAACAGCTTTAACTTGTTTACCAATCAACTTCTTTCTGAGGAACTCACGAGCTTCGAACATCCATGGGATATCGTACAATGGTCTGAAATCTTTAGCACGAGGGATCTTGCCATCTTCACCAGCGACAGGCTTGTCTTTCCTTGGTGGTGGACGGATACTGCTCAAAAATACTTTCTTTGTTTCTCCATTGTTCAAACGCAAGATGATGGCATCAGCACTGGCAATTTCAACAACAGTAGCGGTCATTTCTTCTGATGGCCTTGGTGGTACCCAATCTTTCCACAAGTTGAGCCTCTTCTCTTTGGCTGCTTTCTCAGCAATGTACAACTTGTGCTTATCTGATTTAACATGATTCATTGACCAATCAACAACACGTGCAAATCCTTCAGTGAGCAAAGCTTCAGCAATGTTTCCTGCAATAAACATAAAATAATTAACCAATTATTAAAGATTGTAAGTTATGCATGTTTCGTTAATAAGCTTATGCAATGTAACAACACAAGATAAATAGATAACATTAAAACGAACCTTTAGGATGTAAAATGCTACCAACAAATTGGGTGTTGTTGGCAGATTCAAGGATTACTTCAACATCCTTTTGGAGCAGACGGCATTCAACAAAGAATTTAGCCTGATCAGCAAAAGGTTCAGGTCCATCCTGCTTGAATCCAGGGCATCGAATTCCTGATATAGCAAGGGTAATATGGTAAAAATCTGGTTGCAAAAGTACTTTCACAGTTGAACCATCGCGAACATGTTCAATGGTAGCCTTAATTGGCTTTCCAGCGTATTTGTCAACCAAACTCATTGGTGGACCGTCAATGGTGTACTTGACATCACGTACATGTTCACTGAGTGGGGCCGCCGACCATTTGCCCTTATTCGCGCTCTTAGCTTGATCTTCGAGTTCTTGCAAGTTCTTGATTTCCGGTGAAGTGATTCGTGTATCACGCTTCACTGTCACTAGTCCTTCTTGTACCAACAGCTCAGCCATGCTAGGTTCATTCATATCTGCAATATTTTATTGAAATTATACAAGAATTCAATGATGATTCAGTAATGTTTGTAATAGATAATAGGAGTTAGATGATATTTAGATAAAAAAATTTTAGGATAAAAAATTTTCAAAATACTGAAAACATTTCCAAAACTTATTTAACCAATTGCTATCAAAATTTAAATATACCTTTGCCAAGCCATACTCTTCCATATGTTCTCGAGTTGTTGGGAGACTTTTCTTCAATGAAGGTTACTTCTTGTCCAATCAATTTTTTTCTCAAAAATTCCCTAGCTTCCCAAGCGTAGGGCTCGTCCCTGGTCTCGGTGCTATGGAGTAGAAAAATAAAAGCAATTGAAGGCGCTTGCTTTATAGAATATAAAATCGTAATACCCAAGATAGAACAGTACTCACTTATCTTTCACATTACGGCGGCCCAATTTGGGTGCAATAATGTTGGACAGAATCAGGGTCTTCTCTGGTGGTGGGCCACCCTTGGGCTGGCCACGGATGGTGATGGAATCACCAGAGTTGATCTAAAATTGGAATAATTTAATTGAACAAGTGCAAGAATGACAACGGTGCCAGCGCAGTCGGGCATTTGGCTGCTCGAACGGCAAAGTATGAATAAAAAACATTTTAGGGAATTCATCGGCGCGCATTAGGGTGCTCCACGACGGGCGACGAGTCGTAAAATCGCAAATCGTAAGGGTTTTCCAGCTCGTGAGCTGGCTCGTTGCACCATATGTTAGCATATAAGAGGCGATAGCGCCGCGAACACGCGGCGTGTTAGTTAGCTCGCGCGAGGGACCCCACGTCGGCGGTCGGCGTGGCGGTATTCATATATACCAGAGAGTAGTATAGCTATGTTTTACGCGTAAAAACGTGCAGTCATGCGATTTATTATTATGGTTGGAAAAAAAAAATAATAATGAAGGATCAAGGTACCTGCTTGACGATGCCATAGCAGGGCTTCGGTGGTGGTGCTTGGGGTTGCTGCTGTTGCTCCTGGCCTTGTGGCTGCTGCTGTTGCTGCTTCGATTGGCTCATGGTTGTTGTTTTTTTTTCAAAGTAGTTGGGTATAGAGATCGTCTAGGCAGCTAGTCCAATCTTCAAAAACTCACTCGGCTCTAGTTCTCAATTGAGAAGCTGGATCTGAGATGACGATGAAACCAGAATTTTCAGTTACCTCTAAAACGAAGCTGCTGAAAATTGCTGTGTTTTGTGCGGATTCGGTCAATTGGCGGCGGCAGTTAAAGATCTTGGGCTTTCAACAGTTTTCGGACATTATGTGTGTGTTTGGTTTTTGGTAGAGGTGCGGTGTTTTCTGGATGAGAGAGACAAGACGGCGCGTAGCAGAGTAAGTACTGGCTCGTACGAGGACTGCGAACGGAGTATTAAAATAATCCGGCGGAGATACTACAACAAGTATATAATACGCGGAGGCAGCGGCGCACAGCAGGTATTATACTACTGGTGCTGCTTCGAAGCAAAATTTAATGTAATGACTCTCGGGTAAGAGCGAGAGAGAGAGAGAAATGCGTGTATATATGTGTATGTACTGTGTATGTGCGCGAGAGAGAAAGAGAGAGAGAGAGAGAGAAAGGTGACGACGACACGAAAGCGTGACGTAGACTGCTGCTCTGCTGGCTGCTGCTATCGAAGTCTACAGTGACGGTATAACGCGAATGTGTGCGCCGAAGTGATCGCCTTATGCGCGCTTATACAGCGTTGTAGATATACCTATGTATATAAGTTCGATCGTAAGCTGCAGCGAGCAGAAAACGCACGAAAAGATAATAAAAAATAATAAAAAAATGAAAAATAAAATAAAACGCGAGTTCGCGTCTTTGCACTGGCCGCCTTATACAGTGCCCCTTCCGATATGCAATTCCGTCCGTCTTGATTCTCCTCACCCCGTACTTGCACATATATATACTATCATCATCATCGTCAACGTGCCCACGTATACAGCTCGTCGATGTGCAAAATAAGCCAGCCTAGGTATATTATATATCGCGCGCGGCGTGGAACCTGTTTACTGGCAGAGATTTTTATGCGTGTGTGTTCATTCGAGTTTCGGAGTCGGTCGGGCGACTCGAGCGCCCTCGACCCTATAATAAGATATATAGGCGAACTCGTGGTGGAATCAGTTCGGCGCGCGGTTACTTGACCCTTGATTTTTATTATAATTTTGCCGCGATGAAAACTCATCGAGAGCTTCGTTTATATACATAGGTGATGGCATTGAACAGATTTACAGATTTTCGATTCAAAAGCATTATATTACTTTAACGGCATTGATACGCGAAACTTTGTATAATTCGTTTCGAACGTCGGAAGTGTCGCCGCAGCAGTCAGCAGCGACAACGCCGACGATGTGTCGTAATTTATGCAAGAATTGATAATTTTTTTTCGTACACGTATCGCTTTCTCGAAAATGATATCTTCGACGCGAGTCGGATCAAGCCGGTGTTGATTGGAAATTTAACCTAGCGCTATTAGAAAAGAAAATTCGATGACAATGGCCACTAAAGAGCTCGTTTTGAGTTAAATAGATCGTTAGCCGTGGAATGATAATACGTCAAAGACTCGTATAAACGATACTCGGTAGTCATTTCGGCCGTTCCATATTTTTTTTTTATAACTTAACGCGATTGACGATCGTCGATGTTTTTTTTTATAATTTTGACAATGAGAAATATTTTAACCCAGCATATCATATACGCCTTATTACCGCACGATGGTCCGCATAATACCGACTGCTCATTTTGAATTATATTTTTATTTTTTTCATATTCTTTAGCTTCTTCGATGTACACGTAATTATATTTCTCCATACGATCTTTTCACCGTTTCGAAGATTTGCAAGTATTATCAGGCCTATTTCAAGTCGATATACATCTCGCGCACACGCCGGCTTTTAACTCGAGTGCGACATACGTTCAATAGAGGGCGCGCGGCAGTTCTTAAACGAAGCGAAAACGAAGTTCCGGCCTCCGATTCGAAGATGATGAAATTCTTATCGCAAAGCTCCGTACAGGCGCTTAATTTATCGGATTCTAAAAGCGACGACGTGTTCAAAATCGAGTCGAAAATAAGTAAATACACTCCGAGGTATGTTCACCGCAGCCATAGTGTCACGTTACGTGTGCTACTTCGACGATAATGACAGAAAACCGTAGACTTGATGTTTGAAATGAATTTCGTTCGATTATTTGTAAAAATATTGACTATACGAGCAATGAATACGTTTTTTAAGGGTTGTTTACATCTAAGAAATCGGTATATAGCAGAACCGGCAAAAACGTTTCTTTTGTTTCTAAATTATACTTTGAAAACCGAGATGGTTTTAAAATTTAAATATTTCAAGCCAATTTAGTTTTATGATAAACCAAAAATAATTTTGAGGAATAATTGTTTTTACAAAAAATTATAACTACCGATTTTTCTGGCTCAAATAACCCTTGAAGTAATCGAAGGATCTACCTAGATTTTTGCTTACTATGCAACAAGTAAATAATGAAATTAAGAATGATATTAGAGGACCTAAAACATTACCAACCGACACAATGAATTTCCATAAGCTGCTACGGTTCATCGCGCGCGTCTACACACGCAACTGCATCTCGCAAATCGAAAGTAACTTTTTATACTCGTACACACAGCCTTTGAACTATCAGAGTAATATAATCTAAAGTGCCGCAAACTTTTTCTCTCCCGCGTATAATATATATATGCTAAAACGCGCGAAGAAAACTAAGCTCGCATCTTTACGAAAAAGATCGTCACGTACTAGGTATCATACGCATTCGCTCGCGTTATGGTCTTATTTTTCTCGGTATTTTTTTTTTTTTTTTGCGGCTTGTTATATGCGCCTACATAACTGCCGCATAATACGAGAGCGTCGAAATTATATCGCGATCGGCGTCGTTGATACCCGTTGCTTTTGGGGCTTTATAAAGAAAGCTACTACTGCTACTGCTACTACCCACGGGCTCGGAGAGTCGTGTTATCGTTTTGGGTGCGCGTTACACTACTCCGTTTTGCATTTGTTTCGAGATAAGTATGCGATTCTTACGTTGGCATCAGTTTTTATCGTAATAATTAGAATATCAAATGTCGTTTACGTAAAAATACACAGTAACATTGTATAGTTTTTCGGCTCGAGATTCAGAGCTGAATGAAATATTCGATTTCCGTACCATAGGTGCGAAACGCAATGATCGATTCGCGAGCGCGCTACCATACTTATATACTTACACTCGCACTTTCTCGGCTTTTTTTTTCTTTTTTTTTGACGAAAAAGTAATGACGTATATCTGCGCTACACGTATATACACCTCGCACAATGCCAGAGCCACCGCGATGCGCATTCATTGTTGTTGTTGTGTTTTTTTTTGTCTTCTCTAAACTCGCAGAGTTCAACGAGCTGTGTACCTTCGCGCTTGTACACTTTACGCACACAGTGACGAAATGTCTCGAATAGTATAGTGGTATTATACGCGTTCGCGTCCTTCCTGCGCTGCGCTGCGCTATTATATACGCGCGCAAAGATTGAAGAGGCGCAACGAAAACGTTCGGTCATTTGTTTCTCTCTCTCTCTCGCGAGTTATCTCTCTGGCGTGAAAGACATTTACGTACTTCGAGAGGTATACCGAGGAGCTGTCCTTTTGCTGTACAATACCTCGAAGACCCTCTTATATTTCACTGCCTCCTGCGAGTGCGCGTATATAATATAAGCATCGAAAGTCCGTTGGCTTTTTACTCGAGAGAGAGAGAGAGAGAGAGAGACTATTATCGAGTGAAATAATCGCCAATACCGTGGCTATATAAACTTTCAAACGAAACGTACGAGGATGGACAAACATAATTAATCGTGCGGTATTTACTTCTATCTCGGCTGGATGTATGCAGGACTGACAACGATTCTCGATTCTAGCTGTATACGCGCACAATGAGCCACTGCTGTTGTGCGTATTATAACGTTTGTTTCCTTTCTTCTGGCGATGGATGGAAAATAATTAAATTAAAAACACGAATAACTTTTTTTTCATTCGAGCAAATTAATGAATTCAATCTTTGTTATTTCATTACGAATATTCGTTGAATACAGAATCTCTGTACAAGTGTATTACGTCCAAGCTATACGAGCTTATATTCTACAATCATGCGACAAAATCAAAGCAAATATCAGCCACTTCTTCGTCGATCAGACGTCCCATGATTTTGTCGCAGCAGCGTCTCGACATCGTCTCGCACAGCTGGGCCTTCACCAGGATCTCGTACTTTTTCGGCAACTCGGCGAACGACTCGTCCCAGTCGTAGTAGTCCCGGAACTCGAACACGGTCGCCGCCGCCTCGGGCGCGAGTCGGATCAGGTCGTAGAGCGACATCGCCTCGGCGTCGCTCTCTCTCGCCAACTCGGACGATTCGTCGTAGTGCCATACCTTGATGCACGGCAGGATCGTTATGGTCTTGGCTCGGCTGGCGAACTCCTCGTCGTCGTACCAATTTTCGTTGGCCGTTCGAAGATCCGCCGAGTACTGGAACAACTCGAGCTTGCCGAAGATTTTCGCGACGATCGAGCCGTAATCTTCGACTTTGTATCCTCTGCTTTCGAGACTCTCGAGGATGGCCAGTGCACCGCCGGCAATGCTCGATCCATCGAGGTCCGTACGTAATTCGTACCAACCGACGGCCGAGTCGTCGAAGAGCTTGTCGATGGTAACGACGAAGCTGGCGGGATCGGCGCCACGATCCAGCAGAATCTCGACCGCGTGCGGCTTGAGATTCGCCACGGCCAATTGCAGAGGTGTCCTGCCCGACTTGTCGCGGGCATCTATCGACACCGGCCGATTCAGCTCGTCGCAGATCTCGAGGAATAGCTTCGTCGAGCCGTCGTCTCTGTTCTTCCTCCGTGAGATAACGTGCAGAGGAGTCGATCCCCGCTCGTAATTGGCCCGATTCGGATCTGCTCCGTTCCTCAGCAGCAGTTCCATCGTCTCCTTGCTGCCCTCGGTCAGAGCCAAGTGCAGCGGCGAATCGCCCGTTTCCGGCCACACGAGATCGGGATCCTCATGGCCGAGCTCGAGGAATTTCCGAACGATTTCAACGAGGCCAGCCATGCAGGCCACGTGAAAATGCGTTAATCCGGATTCATCGCTGTAGTTCACCTCGAATTTGTCGTATATCTCGAAGAGCTGCTCGACCATCCATCGCCAGTCGGAGGGTCTGTACTTGGCCGCGTGATGTATCGCCGTGGTGCGACGCAGCAGCAGCTGCGGTGGATTTTCGTCGATCCTATCCTTGTAGCCGGTGCGCACCACGAACTCGATGAACTGCCTCGCTTGATTGAAGTACTGGACGTGGGCGACCACGTGCGCCAGTAGCCAATCCATCTCTTCAGGCTGGAGGCAGTTGCGCAGATCGGGCAGCTCGGGCAGCTCCAGCCACTCGGTCATCAGGTGATCGATCAGCAGGAAGAATTCCACGCGCTCCTCCTCGATCCGCCAGTTGACCTTCTCGCGCAGCCTCATCAGCGTGTCCAACTTTTTCTGTCCGTAATCGAAGCTCTCCTCGTGCTGATCGTTGTCGTTTTTGTCGTCGTCGTCGTCGGCGAAGAAATTTTCGTAGGACTCGTCGTCGTGGCAGCTCGGCTGGCTGCGAAAACTCAGCTCGGCCTCGTCGATTATCATGCTCAAGGATTTGCCCAGGTAGGAGTAGGACTCGTCGTCGTCGCCCTCGCGATACAGCAAACTTCTGGCGGATATGTCGCTCTCGTTGGTCAGGGCCGCCTCTTCGTCCTCGTCGTCGCTCGCCGTGTGCATGGATCGGTCGCTTTCGTCGTCCTGATCGTCGATTTCGATGTCCGAGACATCGTCGTCGTCGCTGTGGACGCTTTCGATGGACGCGTCGTCGTCGCTCTCGGTATGGACGCTCTCGGGGGACTCGTCGCCGGACTCGGACATCGTTTTGCGTTTACTGAATTACACGCAGAGTAATGCGAAAGAAATTCGTTCGAGTTTTTCGTAGCGAGAATCACTAGCTACGGTCGCGGCGATATCTTTCTGTTGCTCGAGCTGCGGCTGAGTCGGTACTACCGTTCAAAGTAGCTGATTTGTTTACATCTGACCGAACACATGACAAAAATATACCATACAGACATATGGAGAACTAACCCGAGGAATAACGAGAGACACAAGACCTGGAATTATTGCTGCTTCTTCATGGATTAAATTTGTAATGGATAATTAACTTGGAAAGCAGCATCGACTCGTCGTGGCTACTCTACTGGTGCACTGAATTACCGCTCTTTTAGCATTTATTTTATTTCATTTGATGCCTCTCATCAATAAACAAATAGCTTTCGAAAAACTCTTGAAACAATTACACCAAACTATTTTTATTTCAACATTTTTATAATAGCTTGAGTTTTCATATTGATGATTATTTTTAAAATTGCATCCGGTTTGTACTATTTTATGGATTTTCATCATCTAAAGTATAAGTGTCGATCGGCACAAATTTCAATGCGGACGTCTAACCAAAACACTAAAGTCGAGTTAAATAACTTGGAAAATGTAAAAGTCAGTGCATGGCCAGCAATTTTGATAATGAGCCTTCATTTTATTTCAATGTATTTCGAAAACTTGAAATTTTATTAAAAAAGGAAAATTGAAATAAAATTAAAAAAACAAACAATTTTTCGTCCAAAAACAAAGGAATTCAATAAATGTATTCATTCAAATTGTCAACGCTTATTATAAAACAAAGCAACTCTGAAAAGCTGATAAAACAATATACCAACAAAACATATTTACAACTTATTCTATACTAATATGTATTATGTCAAAGCTCAAGTTTTTAATTTATGAATTTTTTGAGCTGCAGCTATGTTTAGTACAGTTTAAACTACTTTCATTATCTCGAGTGATGGTCGCAAAAATAAAAATAAGTCATCAATAAGGATCTTGACCTGTTGCCGCGAAACAAATATTACACAGATCTTCGTTCATTAGTTGATCGATGATTTTTTCGCAGCAGAGGATAGGCAGCCGATAATGTATGAGCTCGAAGAAATATTCCAGGGCCCATCGCCGGCAGAATCCTCTCGATACTCTATCGTAGCATAGTTGCAGCATAACAGTACGTTTCCAATCATGTCCAAGATCTACCCCCAATAGTGTAGACGTACGATCAAGGTCATAGTAGTCCCAATGGGTGAGTATTTTTTCCGCCTCTTCGGGTCTCAGCCGTATCAGGTCGTTGAGCGACAGACTCGGAGTCATCTCTGTCTCATTCATTGCTCTCCCGAATTCCAAAATATCCCCATTGAAGTAGTCGCTTATTAAGATCCTTGGCAAAATCTGAATCTGTTCCGCTTGGCTCGCAAACTCTTCGTCGTCGTACCAACGAGTATGAACGTACGTCGATTTCTTGAACAACCTAAGTCTACTGAAAATTTTCATGATTATCAGGGCGAAATCTTTCACTTCGTATCCTCTTTTTTCGAGACTCTCGAGGACGGCCAGTGCACCAGATGCTATGCTCAATTTAAAATAATTCGAATTATCTTTATTTGGGTCGAATCTCGCGGTGAATTCGTACTCAGGCAGAAGTACGAAGCTGGACAGATCAGCTCCACGATCGAGCAAAGTCTCGACTGTGTGCGGCAAGAGATTCGCCACGGCGAATTGCAGCGGTGTCCTACCCAACTTGTCACGGGCGTCGACTTGCAGCTGCAGATTCAATTCGTCAGTGACCTGGAAAAACTTCTCCGTTTCGCCGTGATACAAATACCGTTGAGAATCATATCTTTCGTCGTTCTGGCAAATTACGTGCAAAGGCGTATGTCCCTCGTCGTTGGGTAAATTCGGATCTGCCCCGTGCCTCAGCAGCAACTCGACGGCCATCGCATGATGCCGACCGTGGCGTATGACCAAGTGCAGCGGTGAATCACCCGTTTCCGGCCAAACGAGATTGGGATCGACCCGGCCACGCTCGAGGAATTTTCGAACGACGTGCAGGCAATCCCCGGACAAACAGGCGGCATGAAAATGAGTGAGACCCAACTCGTCGACGTAGTTCACGTCGAATCTGTCGTATACGCAAAAGAGACGTTCGACTTTGCGCATGGATACCAATGTTCCGCCTCTGGCCGCGTGATGTACTGGCGTGGTGCGACGCAGCAGCGAATTGTCATCGTCTTCGGGAACGTCAAACATGTCCTTGTAGCCGGTGCTACACACAAAACTGAGAAATTCAAATCCTACATTACGGTTCGAAATTGCGACCTGAGTGAGAAGAAATTCCATCTCTTTCTGTTGAAAATAGCTATTAAGATCGGGAAGTTCGTAAAACCAATCTTGGACTAAAAAATCAAATGTATGGAAAAATCGGTCTCGTTCATCATTGTTTTCCCAATTGACAATTGGTGCCAAGTTCCTCAACCTTTCCAATTCTTTTCGCTTAAAATCGTACACCTCTTTAGAGCGAAGCCACGGATCGATATAATCGATTTCGCCCATTGTTCTTGTACTTGATTACACTCAACCCAGATCGCGTTTTATTCGAAATATTTTGGACTTTTATCGCGAAAATCACTTGCTACAGTTTTGTAACGTGTTCTGAGTCAGTAATACCGTACAAAAATTAAAAGTTCAGTAAAGACGATCTAAGTAGCCGATTTGTTTACGTTTGGCCGAGCATAAGACAAGAATGCCTTATAGTAAGAGATAGACAACTTACGCGAAAATTATTGCGATAGTTCGTTGCTTTTTTCACGAATTCACACTCGACACGCGCGAAAAAGATTTGAAATAATGGATACTAAAACTTTGCCGAGTATCTTCTTAACTTTTTGATAGAAATTTAAAAATTATGTACATAAATTATGAAAAAATCGATACAACCCTTGCTGTAATATCAACTCGTGCACTCCCATGCTGAGTGCGCTAAAATCTCGCGGTTTAATTCATTGTAGCCTAATTACCTTGTCGATTGCTTTGAAAATAGCATCTGCTCGTCGTGGTTACTTTTCTGACTCGTGGATTATTATCACATCAGATCCGCTTCCTTGTGTATGAATGGATACATCGGTACTTGTGTAAGATAGTCCTCCCAGCTGTCTGTTAAATTGGATAATATCAATCGAACTTACATTTGTTTCATTCCCAACGATTTTCAGAGCTATCATAGTTTAATAATGAAATAAATTTAGAAGTAAGATTAAAACTTGCAAGATTAAAACCAAGAAATTTTTTTTTATTCTTTACAATGGTCAACGCTGAATTATAAACAAAGAGACTTCGATAAGCCGTCGAAACATAATACCAACGAAACAAAAATTATTACTGTACCGAAGCAAAAATTTTTTAGGCCTTCCTTTGCTCGTCTCACCAAACACGCGCGCCTAAATAATAATCACCGACGTCTTGCTGACTGCTGGCCCTCGATGTATTTCGTCAATTGTCACCGCTCGAATCGTCGTCGTCTCAATCGATCACCGAGTTGTTCCTGCTATCGTCGTAATCGGAACTTTCGCCGTACTCGTCGCACTCGCTGGGATGGCCGCTCGCGAAGTTCTCCGAGGTCACGTCGTTGTCGTCGTCGTCGTCGCTTCTCTCGAAGTCGCTGCTGTGCTCGCCGTCGTTGCTCTCGGCCCCGTAGTCGAAGCTCTCCTCGGTTTCGTCATAGGGCGGCTCCCAATCGGAATCGTCGGAGCCCTCGCCGGACTCGAGGAGGGACCGATCGACGAGGGCAGCTAGTTCGTCTTTGCTCATTCGTCCCAATTCTTCCTCTGCTTCGTTTTCGTCGTCGTCGTCGTCGTCGTCGTCGTCGCCTCTGTCGTCTTCGGCGGGGAAACCCTCGTCGCCCTCCTCGAGCTCTTCGGCCTCTACCAAGCTGTTCGCGACAGCAGCTTTGTCATCGGAAATCTCGTAGGACTCGTCCAGCTCGCTTCTTCTCGAGTCTCCGATTTCTCGATCGGAAGTCACGTTCGAGTAGTCGAACTCGCGAATCTCGGAACTCTCGGAATCTGACATTTTGTCTCCGCGCGCACTTGAATATTTTCAATCGCGAGAATCGCTTGCTATATAGCCGTTCGGGCTGCGGCGACGAGGTGTAAACTGAATATAAACTTACGCTACGATCTACGTAGAGTGTGATCGTGTGCGCGAATAAGCTATTTAAAATTACGGTAAACTCGTGTGTCCATTTGTTTACGTTTGATCGAGCAACAATTACGAGCGTTTGGTTTTCAAATGCTCGAGAAAAATTCTCACTTTCACACATTGGTATGAATTACGCATAACGAATCGATACATACACCTGACCATAAAAAGTCGGCGATACTTTAAAAACAATGTAAAGCCTATAGTTTTTGATCAAGCTTCTAAGCTATGAATAGTTCTGTACTTCATTTATTTTGTTCTCAAGTTTATAAACTGGTAGAAATGCTGGGACTAATGACCAAACAACGACCATTTACAATGTTTTAAAATACCATTAACTGGCTTGTTTTTTAATTTATAATTATTTCCATACAAACATTATGCGCACTTTTAACGCTCCAAGTATGCCAGTTTAATTGTTTCAAATAGTTTAGATCAGTTTTCAACCTCTTTAGTATGATGATACCACTTTAAGTCAACGCCGCTAGATGGCGAGTACCTTCATCCGTAAATCTGCAAGTGGCAAAGTCAACACAATTGTATAAATCAAAGCATTTATGAAATTGATCAAATATTGCATGAATATCCATCTAAATATGACACTTATAGCACTGCATAGCTACTTTACCGAACAGCCGAGTTTCGGCAAAGTATATAATAATTTTCAAACGGAGCTACAAATTTTCTCCGAAAGTATAATCTTTACAGAAGTGACAAAAATATATTGCGTCCAAATTTCATATTAATTTCTATTGTATCGAAAACTAGAAGCGCGGGGGAGAGACGGGTGATCGGCAATTTGAAATAAAAGCTTTTCCAACGCGAACGCGGAAATCGTTGTCGTGCGCGTCGCTCGCTCGATATCGAAGATCGATGCTCTCGGCCTCCCTCCCCCGCGCCGCACAGCTCATCGTCGACAGAACATGAAGCAGTCAAAGTCTCGAATCTCCTTCGGTTAAATCGTTAAGATCGGCAGCGAATTGTTTATGGCGCTTTCTCGATTGTCCATACGGCGAGAATAGAGCGCTCACAAGCGCGTATACAGCAGCTGACGGACTTCCCATACTTATACACTCGCATCGCTAAATCATCGGCGATTTTCTTGTGTACGCTTTGTGTGTAACGGAGGTAAGAGAGAAAAAAAAAGAGAATAGCATTTTATTATTATTTAACCAAGTTATTAATGAACATTGATCGTTTGTATTGATAATTATGAACATGGCGTTTACGCGCGAACTAATGCCTATCGGCGCGTCGCGATCTTTTTTCATCCGTGCGTTTGTAGGTACAATTTACACGAGCTGGAGAGCACTTCCCATGACCGATTAAATATATTAATAGTTGATTTGAATATCGCTTAATTAATTTTTTTTTTTATATTTCAATTTAACTCGCAGGATACGTCTCTCTTTCGAACGATATTTTTGGTGTAGTTGCAGTTGAGTAAGATCGAACGTCCGTGCGAGTTCACCATAAAAAAGAAACCGATAAGAACGAATATAAAACCAATTGCGAGCGCGATAAGCAAAAATTCAGCGCAGTCGATTAAAAAAGAATACCCATATAAAGCGCCATTATATCGTTATAAATGTCATAAGCGCAGTGGCCAGAAGAGACTCGAATTATCGCGCGCGCGTATAAATAAAACTTTGTGCATAGCAGTAGGCAATAAATTAAATGGAAAGCGATCATCATCAGCGTCTTCTCGCGTCACCCATTAACTCAATTCGCGTTCAATTATGCAAGTACGAATGAGTTTAAAAAGTGAGAGCTCTCGCAGAGGTGTCAAAAATTTCCTTCTGCGCGAGTGGGCGCCTTCGAGAGAGCTTGAGACAATTAGAACCTATAAGTTTCGATTTCGTTGCTCGAGAGCTTTCGAAAAATTATAAACAAAAATGCTCGAAAAATCAGAATGAAACATTGAGAAGGTCGTTTCTGTATGATGTACGCGCGCATAGTACAGGAGATCGCTGCAGCCGATTCGCAGGATCGTCGCCAGGGTGGTGTTGGTGGGAGACGCGCGAAAAAAAACACACGCACAGGCTCCTTATGTGTGCATACTTGTACGTTGTATTATATATATTATACACAGGACTAGAAGCTAGTACACACGGTCGGGGTCCACCACCAGCTCTCGCTCTCTCTTTCTTTCGCACTGCGGCCCGTGCAAAAGGTAAACCTCGCTAGAGAGCGGGCGGGAAGGGGTCCCAGGTAGTAGTAGTAGGTTTCGCCTCTATATAAAGCTCGAGCCGGTGAAGATGTTCCCAGCAATTCTGCTCGGGCTGACTTTCTCGGCAGCAGCAGCAGCAGCAGCAGTGGCTCCTGTCTCTGCTCACGGTTAATATAAAACAAGCCGTCGGTTCTCTGGTTGTTTTGTGCGTTCGATTTCGCCCGCGCCACTTTGACTGCTCCATTGCTGGTTACTGTTGTTCAACATCGATATCCACGACTCGTGAGCGCGCACACACACACACACACGCACGATTGTGTGCGTTGTGGCACCTGCGCCTATTATACTTGGGTTATAATACGATATATTGTGTTGGCGGGCGTTTTTCTCATAATACACGGTTAATAATAATCCGACGCGTGTGCGCGTGCAACTCCCATCGTTCAAGACAACAACAACGACGAAGACAAGAAAGGAAAAAATAAAGAAGCTCGCGCGGCCGAGATATATCTTCCTTTATTATTTTTTTTTTAACCATCGACGTGAGACTCGTTGCCAGTTCGGCTATATTATATCCATATAGTCTGACATAACGAGTCCTTAAGTAGTGTGATATATATACGTTCTCGTCGCTGAAGCAGTGTTTGGATCTCTCGCATACGTGCGCATAAGAAATCGGTAAGTTCCTGCAACAATCGTATTACACATTAATCCTTTTTTTAATAAACATAATTTAAGTCAAAGTCGAAAAACGTATTTAAAAATCTTATTTTTACTCTAATTTCGTTATTTCCTTAATTAAAATCGTTAGCTCGAATAATTCACTGATTACTCTGCGAATTGCCTGTGGTACCCTTCCAGTATGAAAAATTGAAACGCGCGCGTCAATCAAATTATCATAAAGATTCTACACTCTCGGCGGCGGCAGCGCTTCCTCCGTGGCATTAAATCTAAATTTTCACGGGACACCGCGCACACGGGATAATTGCATAATAATTATGATAAAAAGTATATAATACATACACACACGATGATAATAACGAAGGAGAAAAATAACGATGATTACGACGACGACGTCGGCGGTGGCTGCTGCGATGATTATTATATACACCTAGGAAAATACATGTGTGTGTGTGTGTGTGTGTGCGGTGAAAGGTGTTATCACCTTTCAATTGAACATCGCGCGTGTACGTCTCGAGTCTCTCGGCTATATGTACGCGTGGTGTGCGTTGTTCCGCGCGGCGGAACACGATTAAAGCCTCGGCGCGCATTTATTTCGCGACGACACCTCGACGGTACATATATACGAGGAAGTATTTTCGTATTAGTGCCCATCATATTTTAAAGACCCGCGGGATGTCTTTTAAATTTTTTCGGTGGATGCGGTTACCGTACACGCTCGTTCGTATACCGATCTCTCGAAACCGATCGTTTAATTATTTAAATTTTGAGCACCCGCCAACAAACAAATAACAACAGGGGGGCCTTTGTAGAAATTTGATCGCTTCGAAATAACTTATGAAACTGTGTGCAGCCGTGGCCATATACTACTAATACACACACACACACACACACACACACACACACACACACATACACAGAGAAAGCAGACAAAGGGACCCGAAGCCATGCGCTTGCTCGCTTGCTTAGGAAAGCTCTCGCGCGCAAAATCGCTAATTCTCTCTCTCTCTTGCGCTCGCAACGGATAGTTTTGTGTGCAGTGACGGGGCCTCCTCCTCCTCCTCCTCTCCCCCTTTTATTTCGCGTTTGTAATAATTGCACAACTTGACGTTAAAAATTTAGCCTCGAGCCTGTATCTCGTACTGTCATGCCTAGATGTGCAGTGTATGTGTGTAGTGTACCTCGCGGCTAATATCTCTATATATACATACAACTACGAAATTTTGCTGCACAACAACACGACACACGTAATATTAGCCGACGATCGATCGATCGATCGGATCGAATCGGATGGGGAAAATTGACCGATGCTTCGCGCGCGAGTAAGATTGATGACAGCGATGTGCGTTGCGAAGAGTGTCTCGAGTTAACCCCTTGCTTATAATAGCTTCGGAAAGTTACGATCGCAACTGCACACACGTGACATGAGTTATTTTAATTTGCGTCATGTAAACTCATAGGTACGCGATCGTATTTTATAAAAGATTCATTATTATTACGGGCGCTTATCTCCGCTAGTCTCGTGTGTATGTATTTCGACTCCAAATTGTTTCTCTGCCGAGGACGAGGAAATTATTCGTAATTTTGTATTATATATAAATTGAGCAATATACGTGCGGTTGACTAACTCTGCACACCGCTGAAAAATCGGTGTTATCCTTTAAAGAGAAGAATTAAAATTCCACAACAGCCTTACGAGACACGGAGTTTGCCTGTGCAGGGTCTGTGTAACTATGCTCGAGAGTCTCTTTTTATTGGTTCTTTGAAATTCAAAATTTATTATCTTGAGGAAAATCTGGCGAAATTCTTAGCCGGAGGGACGACCGCGAGTCTCGTGCGCGAAAATAAATCGTTACCTACAATAGTTTTTGGGAAAATGGTAATTGTTCGATCTAATTAGAATTATAATCGGCCTAATTAATTAATTGGTGAATATACGAGTATCGAATCGGTCCTCCGTATCAGCGAATCGTCTAAGAGTGAAACTGCGTTCTAATGAGAAAAAAATCGCTAATGCAAAAGTGAACAAGTTTAAAATACCCCCGGCTGCACCTACATAAAGTAGCGTGTGTGTGTGTGTGCACTTGCAAATTAACGACGCTCGAACTCGCACTCGGTACTCGCGCGCATGGCATTAAATTCGCCTCGGCGTGTGAAGCTCGTTTCGATTCTCGCGCGTCGGGCTATAGCTATATACGTACACCAAGAGTCCTGCTATACATATACGCTATATCCTCGTGTTCGCACCTTCGCACGAGCGGAAGTGCAACTCGCCTCCACTTATTGCGTAAAAATTCATCCTCTCTCTCTGTCTGTCTTTCTTCCTTTGACTTTCGGTGCACGCGGAGTATATATAGCGCCGCCGGCAGCACAAGACTCGAGCAACACACACACACACACACACAGCTTATGTACGTATATATATACCCGACACCTATTGTCTTGGGCTATGTAGCCTTTTTTTTTTTGCTGTTGCTGTTGCTCAGCTGACACAACGCGCGCCGCGGTGCTAAATATTTTCCCTAAATAACGACAACCTTTTTTTTCTTTTTTTTTTTAACGCGTATACACGCGGACACGCGTGAGAAGTAATCGCTCGTCGCCCCGGTGTGTAATTCGAACGTAAATGCTCGGTGAGAATCTGGTTGAAATGTTCAACATTAATAATGACCTTTTACAATGGTTTAATGTATACACGATCTTTAATTACCTTGTTTTTGGTGATTTCCATTATTCCATTCCATTATTCCATTATATGGATGTAATTTACAAATAGTAAAAGCCTTTTTATTGATCGAAAAATGACAATTTAATTGTTTGAAAAAATGTAGATCAGTTTTTAACCGCGTTTAGTAAGATAATACCACTCTTTCGCCGCTAGATGGCTAATATCTATATACCTGTAAATCTGCAAGTGTCAAAGTCCAAATAATTATATAAGTCAACGTGCTTGAAATACTTTGAGAATCCGGTAACGAAATTTGTTGGTAAGCAGATGCCAAAATTAGAATCAAAAAAAATCGTTATCGGACGAAGAGTCGCCGAGCACGAATTGCTCCAACGATAATATTCGTCGCGCAGCGCCGGTTATTATATGTATTATTATATTTGACTTTCTTTTCTCTCGCGCGTAAATCGTGACACTCGACTCTAACATAATATACAATAATATACACACGATACGCGCGCGCGATCGTGACCGAATACAATCATAATAAATAATAATAATCGTCGATGATAAAATTGAAACGACGCGTCTGAAAGGGCAAATTATACCATCGTTTCGATTGCGTATATATGTATACAGTTCGATATACTTTTTGCCCTCCTTTTTTTTTTGCCGTATTTACGAAAAAATTGCGACAGCAAAATTATGACGCGCGTCGTAAAAAAAAAAAAAAATTATTTGAAGAGCTCGTAATATGCAAGGATTAGATCGTGCGGCTCTTCGGCATAATTCATTCGCGATGTAAAGTACCCACGACGCGTTGTACTACACGGCAAAAAATTTGAATATTCCAATGCGCGCACGCGGGTAAATTCGCGAAAGGCGAATTCACAGAGAGACAGCTCGACGAGATCAGAAAATAAGACACACGGCAGCAGCAGCAGCAGCTGACTTTAAATAGGCGAGGCATGAAGCTTTACACGTGTACAAGTGTGTGTAAAGGATTGCCGCTGTGTGTGTGTCGCTTGGCTAAAACGTCCTTTTCAATTCAGCATGTGCAATATGGGTAAAATAGAGGTGTTATTATCCAGAAAATCGTGTACCTACTACCAACCAGGCGCGCGCGCGCATTTACGGTTATTCAATCTTGATCAACATACAATGAGCCGGCCCAGAGAGAGAGAAAGAGAGAGAGATGAGGCCACCGAGACCGACTGTATACACAGCATATATGTATGCAGCAGCGAGTATAAAAAGTACAGCGGCATGTACACATTTACGTATCGCGAAAATTACGCCAAGTATACAGTCGCTGCGATGGGGATAGGTACGATTTTCTTCTCTTATGTATTATACATAGGCAAATGGGATTTTTGACAAACGACGACATCGTTGACAGCGATTATTCGTACGTCGTGTCGCGTATTATTATGGACGATCGATGGCTTTCCTCGTGTTGTTGTTGTACGTATACATAAACGTAAATAGCTCGTGTAAAACTGTCGGTCGAGCGGTAACACCCGTTTTCGAGATGTTATTGTACGTAAGGTATAATCTCTAGGCGCGAACTACTATTTACTTATTCTCGGCAGTTATTACGCGCGATTCTTGTAGATTAAAAAAAATGATCTTAGCTATGGATAAGCTATTAATTACTATTAAATGCGTTCGAACGATTTTAATTTATACTCGAAACAACGATGCCCGAATTTTCAAGCACCAAGGTTAAGCTGCGGTGGCATACGCGTATTATCTTTTTTTTCTCCGTTGGAAAACTTCGGTGTAATTTTTTTTTTTTTTTTTTTCGGAAACCACAAACACCGGAAAATTGCCGCTTTCTCGTCGGGAGTACAGCACTCTTTAATATTTTAGTTTTTTATTTATTTAATTGTTCTTCCTTTACGTATGTATATAATAATTTTTCCGTCCTCGAGAGTCCTCGAGTTAGTTTGTCTCGACTGTTTGAAAAAGTAGTCGGTTGAACGATCTTCTCTCGGTACTGTGCCGTTGGATTATATCCTCGTTGACTCTTTTTTCAATTTATTTTTTAATATATTAATATTTTGTATAATAAATCCACAGTTCGTATTCAGTCTAATTATCGGTTAAAATTTTATTCATAAAAGTGCTATGAAAATTGTATATTACAAAAGGAATATATTACAAGAATATAATAATCTTTCTCGCTTTCGATCACTGTCATGAATTTCGCAAGGCCGAAAATAACGTTAAAACGATCACCAGCCAACTTGTAACCTGTCCGGAGCTCGTCTGGTCCTCTGCGATCTTCTGCGCCGCGGCTCCTCGAGCCTGCCCACCCGCTGTATAG